GAGGAGAGCCAGCTGAGTTTGCAGGCTCCTCCCTGGCTGCTCCATTTGCTCGGTTCTTCTGAAGATTTAATGAATTACAGTAGGTAAAGCGCACACAACAGAGCCTTGTCCGCAGTCAGTACTCAGTGTAGTCCTTGTTACCTCCTCTTGGGGCAGTTCTGAAATACTCGGTGAAAACGTGGCTTGCCCTCCAGGCTGGGTTACCTCTCCCAAGTCCATCGGCCCCGTCTCTTTTTGGACACCGACTGCCCTGTGCAGAGATGCGCCCAAGCAGCGTTAAGTCGCGTTGCCCCACCTTCCCTCCCTTGCGAAGTGCACCCCAAGCAAGCAAGACACACACACACACACACACACACACTTTCAGGAGTCGTCCTAGCTTCCAGGGGTAGAACTTGTTCTACTCATTCAGGAAGAGAAGGTGAAGATTTTTGTTGAGCGTTTTGAAGTAATTCGTGTGCTGTCATTATGACCCAGCACCAACAACTACCGCCGGCCAGAAGTTTCCTCGCCAGGCTTTCCAGTCACGTGACTGGCTCTTTTCTGACCCGACTGTTCCGCAACCCCTTCCCTGGTGAGTTTATTGTAAACTTTCAGGTTTCTCGAAAACTTTTGCGGTCCACCTTGAGCTGGAACACTGCCATTTCAAATTTGTCCTGAGATGTTAATGATTGCTAATGTTAACAATACCTATATTAATGTAAGGTGTTATGTTAATTATTATTTTAATTGTATTAATATAATGTATTATATCTACCATTATAGGATGTTAATATAACGTATCATATCAGCTTGACAGATATCCATTTATATATACATATTAGATAGTACATTTTATATATCACATACTATATAGATTATATCCTATATGTAATATATACATCTTATGTTACATAGCATACAAATGAAAGCTTTCTAGGGCTTATGATAAACCAGGCACTTAAGCTAGACATTTTACATAAGTTTCCCCATTTAGTTCAGTCCAATGACAAAAATAAATGAAGAAATAAAACCAGAGTTAAGCCCGATGTCATATGTGGCTCGTGTGGGATTCAGCCCCCCAATTTTCTGATTCTGGCCCTTACAATATACACCCATCTGCATCTTATATCACCTTTTCTTAAACCAAGAAAATCTCAGAATATTGGAAATATTCTCTAAGTGGAAATTCCACCAAAAGGGGGTAGGTGGGATCGGTTTGTGGGGGGCTACGTGATGCAATGTGGCTTTATGTGCTAATGGTAGTTGAAAAACTGAAGAAGGAGGGGGAGGAGGGGGAGGAGGAGAAGGAGGAGGAGGGGAAGGGGAAGAGGAAGAAGAATCCCAAATAGAAGATGAATTTAGTCTACTGTGTGTATCTTGTGTCTGGCAAGTGCTCGGCACATAGAGAATGGTCAATGTATTTATTGACCGCTTAACTCTTATTGTTAAGTCAGATATTAAGTTATCCCCCCTCCTTATATTTTCTTTGCTTCCCCTCCCTGCAGATGCACTCAAGTAGAAAGGGAAATAATTTCATATTTTCTAGGTTTTCATATGAATCTAGCACTATGTTGCTTTATAAACTCCAAGTAGACACTTGGGCAGTGCAGGCAGTCCTTAGTGCCAACGATGGTCAGCAAGAGAATTCTTATTTCAGGAAAACTGGCTTCTCGTGTCCAGTGGAGAGAGTCCCCAGTAATTTGTACACCGGATTGCAGAGAGAAGAAGATTGGTTCTTGGAAACTTGCTTGACATAAACACACATCCCTCCTTGACAAGGCACAGCTAAATTCAAAATGACCAGTCCCAGAAACACTCTTCCTGACTGGGCCTCATCCCTAGCTTATTACGAAGCCTCTCTGAGTCATCCTGCCCGGGATCCTGCTGGGAATTACTAATGAGAGATGTTGTAGCATCTCATAAATGCCCACCCTCATTACGGAGACAGGTCCAGGCCCTCTGTTTTGTTCTGGGAAATCTTACCAAGTCCTGAATGGATAATTATACTCCAGCCCTCACACACCAAGCCACCACCACAGATGACAAAGTGTGTGTGTGTGTGTGTGTGCGCGCGCGTGCACGTGCATGTGTGTGAGCTTGTGTGGCGAGGGTGCGGTGGAAGAATCTTTGGAAGGACAATAGCTGCTTTCACTACTGAAAAACACAACTCTTTCAAATATATTAAGTGGTTATATAGTTTCATGCTTCAGAGTCTTTACTAAACTTGGTGTAGGCCCTAGATCTGTAGAGGACTTGCCTTCCACATCTGTAGAATAGATGGGGTTAGAATCAACCTCACAACCTGAGTAAAGCCTAAGCTTCATGGGAACAGCAATAATAATAATATTAGCCAATCTGGGGTTCGCTGTGAGAGTAGTGAGTACACAGTTCTCAGCACGGGAGAGCATTTAGTGGATATTACCTCATAGCATTCCTGTATTGCATGCCTTGGTTTTTGCAAACTACATACAAGAGGGGCAACGTATAACCTCTCAATGATTATACCTTGTGTCCAACTTAACATTGCAATTTCAACTTGGGTAACTGTATAATTGATTAAGCCAAAGGAATATTAGCAAAGAAATGCTGGTGAGTTCAAATCCCAGTTAGCCCAGTAGGCAGATAAACCAGGGGTAATGTACTTATCTTTGTAAGCTTAAGTACCTCCTCTCACGGTGGTGATAATGGTCTTACCCACCTAGTGGGGTTTTTCTGAGGCTGACAAAGCATTGGAAGTTCCTGGCATCTACTAAAGCTCTGAAATGTTTATCATTAAAGTGATGAAGTACACGAATTGGGCTCATAAGTAATCTCTAGTATATTCGTCTCGGAGTCCTCTGCCTAATTAGAGAAAAAATCTCCCTGCAATTACAGACATTGTCTCTTTGGTTTTGTCTCTCCTGGAGTATATGATCTAGTGGTGTTTACCATGGCCAGCACCCAATAAGCAAATAATAGGCAATTGATTATTGATTTTTTCCTCATTCTTTAGGGAAAGGAAAAGATCAGTATCAACGCATTTTTTGTTTTCTGAGAACTTGCTGGTAAATCCTGGAGGGCTTTATTTGTATGTCATATAGGAAGCAATTCTGTATGACAAAAATAGTAATTTCAGTCTCCACAGATTGGATTGAAACCATGGCTCCATTACTCACAAGCCATGGCCTTGGGCAAGTTACTTAATCTCTCTGGACCTAGTTTCCTCATTCAAAAATTGGGGGGTGCTATGCCTATAGGTCAACAAGGTTAAGATTATACTTGATTTTAAAAAAATTTTAATGTTTTATTTTATTTTTGAGAGAGAGCGAGAGAGACAGAGTGTGATCAGGGGAGGGGCAGAGAGAGAGGGAGACACAGAATCCGAAGCAGGCTCCAGGCTCTGAGCCGTCAGCCCAGAGCCCGACGTGGGGCTCGAACTCATGGACCGCGAGATCGTGACCTGAGCTGAAGTCGGACGCTTAACCGACTGAGCCACCCAAGCGCCCCACGTGTGTGACTCTTGATGTCAGCGCATGTCTTGATCTCAGAGTTATGTGTTCAAGCCCCGTGTTGGGCTCCACACTGGGTGTGAAGTCTACTTAAAATCAAATCAAAATACAAGTACATCATCATTGCATTATCACTTTGATACCTATTCTATGTTTTTTTTTTTTTAATTTTCTTTGTGGGTTTTTTTTTCGTAATATAACTTGGCTAATTCCATCGGGGTGAAAATTGGAGAAATCCCATGATAGAATTATTACTGCTCATTACTTTGGAAGCAAAGCCCATTTCGTTTTTTGCTCCCGTAAGTCGAGAACCTGCCTTGACGTTTCTTGTTGTGGCTGTTGACTTGCATGAAGCATCGTCGAGCTCTGATTGTGTTTTGCCAGAGCTTTAATAGGAACCAGCAGTGCAAACCTCCACAGGGGACAGGCACCTACGGGGAACCGGTGGAAAGTACCTCTGTGGTCTGGGTGAGTCAACTCCAGGACGAATGCAAATGGATAGCTGGTCGTTGTTCAGTATTCGTGAAGTGGGCCAAGTGAAACTATTCTGAAGCAAGAAAACTCCGGGAGAGTTCTTTTGTCCATTGGGAAAATAAAATTCAGCTAGCAGAGGACTTAAGCAGCCTTCGTATAGGAGCAGATGCCAAATAGCTCTCACAGTCCGGATCCTGTGACCTGATCTTCTGCTGCCAGAGAACCATATGCAAACCTCCTGCAGGCTGGTTCTTGTGCAAGGTCAAATGGTGGTGCTTCCGGCAACGAGGGGGAAGTCAGAGTCTGATCCTACTGCAACTTGGACAGAATAATTTGAGATCCTGTATGTTTACGTGAACACTCACAGGTTCCCCCAGAATCCATATTTTTCCAAGACCTCTAGGTGATTTGTATGAGTATTAAATTTGAGAAGTGTGCATATTATTATCCATTTTACAGGAAAACAGATGAAACTCAGGGTAAGTATTTTGTCCAAGTTAGAAAGCCTGTCTAACTCCAAAGTTACTCTGCTTTATTTACCAAGAATAAGTTTATTGTCCCTAAAAAAAATAAGTGTTTCCCCATGGGTGTGAATGCTTCCATGCAGGAACTTTTCCTTTTCTTTCTCTTTTCGTTTTCCCTTTCTTTCTATTCTTCCATTATTGCTTTTTCTTAAAGTTTTTTTTTTTATTTAAAAAATTTTTTTTTCAACGTTTATTTATTTTTGCGACAGAGAGAGACAGAGCATGAACGGGGGAGGGGCAGAGAGAGAGGGAGACACAGAATCGGAAACAGGCTCCAGGCTCTGAGCCATCAGCCCAGAGCCCGACGCGGGGCTCGAACTCACGGACCGCGAGATCGTGACCTGAGCTGAAGTCGGACGCTTAACCGACTGCGCCACCCAGGCGCCCCTCTTAAAGTTTTTTTTAATGTTTATTCATTTTTGAGAGACAGAGAGAGACAGAGCCTGAGCGGGGAGGGGGCAGAGAGAGGGAGACACAGAATCTGAAACAGGCTCCAGGCTCTGAGCTGTCAGCACAGAGCCCGACGCGGGGCTCAAACCCATGAACCACATCATGACCTGAGCAGAAGTCGGACGCTTAACCAACTGAACCACCCAGATGCCCCATTCTTCCATCATTGTTAATGAATGACTCTTTCTGTTCTTTTCAACGTCAGTGTTAGATGTGTGACAACTTCTTACCTTAAAGTATTAAAGGAGGGTTGTCTGGGTGGCTCAGTCAACTGGGCATCTGACTTCGGCTCAGGTCATGATCTCACCATTCATGTGTTCAAGCCCCACATCGGGGTCTGTGCTGACAGCTCAGAACTGGAGCCTGCTTCAGATTTCTTCTCTCCCTCTCTCTCTCTGCCCCTCCCCCACTCGCCTTCTGTGCCTCTCTCTCTCTCTCTCAAAAAAAAAATAAAAACATTAAAAAATAAAAGGTATTAAAGGAAAAGACAAAAAGCCCATGCTTCTTATTCCAGAAGTTATGTTTCTGCTCCGCCAGCAGGAAAGCTGGGTGGCCGCATCCACACTGGGGAGCTCGAGTCAGACACTCCCTCAGAAGTGGAGTCCAAGGTGAAAAGCATCTGCCAGACAGCCTTCATCTAAGGCCACTTAGGTGGCTACTCCAGGAAAACTCCAGCACACCGCTCGAGAGTTCTTTGGGATCTGATTTTCGTAACCTACTACAAAAGAAGTGATCATCAGAAAAGCTCTTCCCTACCAGCTAGAGACTTCAGAGAAAGTGGGTATTTCAACAGAGATCATCTCACAAGGATTGTGCGAAGAGACATACAGTGGCCTTCTCGGTAGACGGGTAAAATCATGAGGACCTCTAAAAGTCTCATATGGCGAGTTTAAGTGGCAACTTGTGTCTCAAAATCTCAGGACCTCACAGACCTACCATGATGTTAGAAACCCCGTCTTCTCCCTTTATGTCGGAAATCTGTCTCCACTGTGGAGCTACGGCCCCCCAGCACATACACCTGCCCACACACTTATAGCTGTGGATCTGTACATGCCCCCGCAGTCACACCCTCCTACACACACACATTGCGGGGGCACAACCTCTTCGCAAGCACACCTTCCAGCATGTGAACAAGCACCCACAACACACACCCATATCCACTCCCGCACAACCACACAACCCCCAGGCTTACACCCATGCATATGTGCTTATCCCTGGCACACCTCTGCCTCTACACACACACACACACACACACGTGCGCACACACACTCATACATACACACACACACACCTGCAGATTTAATAGCACTTGCTGTTTTGAAGGTCTATGATGTCATTTTCCAACCCATTAAAATTTGTTTCAATGTGTATTTATTTTTGAGACGGAGAGAGACAGAGTATGAGTGGGGGAGGAGCAGAGAGAGAGGGAGACACAGAATCCGAAGCAGGCTCCAGGCTCCGAGCTGTCAGAGCAGAGCCCGATGCAGGGCTAGAACTCATGGACCACGAGATCATGACCTGAACTGAAGTCGGACGCTTAACCGACTGAGCCACCCAGGTGCCCCCCCCCAGCCCCTTTTTGTAATCACGTATGATCTTCAGTCCAAAAGATAATGGGTCTGTATTTCCAGAAAAACACAAAACAGGAATTTTGAATTCTCCTAACACCTACCCTCAATCCCTGCCCCAACTCAGAGGAAGAAGGCCTGGCATATCCTGTGGTCTGGCACTGAGCCCTCTACCCGAAGTCCTTGTTCCCAGTGTGGTGTGGAGAGGCACAGCTTCCCTGAACCACGAAGTCTTCAACCAGGGGGAATCACCGTAACAACCTTTGGCTTATCTCCAAAGGGTACTTCCTCACACGGCCTGATGGAAGGTAGATACCCCATAAGGGATGTCAAAAGAATGCGTGAGATGGAATTTCTTGATAAGCCCCAGAGGGAGCATTCAGAATTTTTTCGTTTTTGGCACACACCTATGTTTGTGGGGAAAAGGTGAGGGTAGCTATGAGCGATCCTTGCCATTTGAGCCACAGAGGGGTGAGGGAACCAATTACTGCACGAGGGCCCTCAAAGAACACAGCAGCCCTTAATTTTCTGCAAAAACTCCACCTGCTCACCCATCCCGCCAAATACATTGTCCACAGGGTGGTAGTTAAGGTTACAGTAAGAGAAACTTGGGTTTGAGGCATGACCTTGAACACGTGACATCCTCTCGCTGAGACTCGATTTCCATTTTCTGTAAATGGTGGTACTTACTTCATAGAATTGCTTTGCGGATTAAATAAGACAATGCAGATGAGGCATGTGACAAGTAGTCAATAAATATTGGCAAGGAAATGTCAGCTAAATTACTATTAATCGAAGCCACAGACAGGGGAATGTCTTAGTTCCAGAGGTAGTGCTTTTGGTGGATGTTTTGGGCAGGTTTATCTGTGGTGGAATATTGGGGCCAGGGAGCATTTTTTATATGTGTAATCCTATCTTCAGAAGCCTCTATCATGTGGGAACAAACAGAAGGTTCCTAAAGGGAAACTTTTGCCAGATACCTTGAAAAACACACACCCAGAAGAAACATCCAGGGATCATGGTCATCCAGTTAGTTGTAGGAGAAAAAGTCCCTGAGGTGTTACATTCTCAAGGATGCTGCAAGAAGGTGTGAGCGGATTTTTCTATGAACCTTAACAGCGATGGCCATTTTCCAGGTTTTCTCCGTAATTCAACCCTGCATCTCTCATGGTCCACCCTAACTTAAGGCCCCTTTCCCACTATAGAACTCTATTTCTGCCACTTCTGCATCTAGGGGAAGTGGAAAATAAATATAGGTGCATATGTAAGATGTTCGGGTATACCTTGTAAATGTGAATTTCCCTGCTCTCACCATCTCCAGGAATCACCACAAATCCTGAAGGTAAATACCACGTTGACTATCATTTTACAAATGAGGAAATGCAAGGTCAGAAATTGTGAGCGACCTTCCCAAGGTCATGGGGTAAGCTTGTAGGAGAGCTGAAAATCAAAGCCTGTCTTCATCCATACTCTTCCACGTTCTATCTTGAGAATAATCTCTTGCCCTACTTTTGATGATTATTGCATTTTCTTTAAATCTGGATGGCAAATATGCCATTCTGCCCAGCACGGGAGCCTAGAATATTTTGAGAAATCCTAAAATGGGGACATTTGCACCAGCTACAGAAGCCGAAGGGGCTCCCGAAAGTCCCCCTTGAATGCAAACTGGTGTAGCAACTATGGAAAACAGTATGGGGGTTCCTCAAAAAAAAATAGGATTACCATACGATTCAGTAATTCCACTGGGTATTTACCCAAAGGAAACATGAATTGGAAAAGATATATGCACCCCTATGTTTATTGCAGCATTATTTATAGTAGCCAAATATGGAAACCACTCAAGTGTCCATAAATAGATTAATGAAGGTAACAGAGGTGGTAGGTATATATTCAGTGGAATATTATTCAGCCATAAAAAGGAATGAGATCTTGCCATTTGCAACAACAGGGGTAGATCTAGAGGGTGTAATGGTAAGTGAAATAAGTTAGTGACAGAAAGACAAATACCATACGATTTCACTCACGTGTGGAATTTAAGAAACAAAACAAAGGAAGAAAGAATAAAAAAAAAAAATCAAGCAAAGGCCAGAGTCTTCTCTTTGTTTTTTTTTAAGCTTATTTATTTATTTTTGACAGAAAGAGAGAGCAAGCGGGGGGGGGGGGGGGGGGCAGACAGAGGGAGAGGGAGAGAGAGAATCCCAAGCAGGCTCTGCACCGTCAGCACGGAGCCCGATATGGGGCTTGACCTCACACACCGTGAGATCACGACCTGAGCTGCAACCAGGAGTTGGAGGCTTAACCCAGTGAGCCACCCAGGCGCCCCCAACAAGCAGACTCTTAAGCATAGAGAACAAACTGATGGTTACCAGAGGGCAGGGGGTGGGGGGATGGGTGAGACAGGTGGTGGGGAATAAGAACACAGTTATCACGATGAGCGCGGAATTGTTGAACAAGAATCGCTCAATCGCTATATCATGCACCTGAAATTAATATGACACTGCACGTTAATTAGGGGGGAATGAAAAACAGAAAGCCCGCCTCCCAGCTCAACAAGTAGAGATCGTGTGACTAACCCCAGCCAATCGGATGCTCTGGCTGAGGGCTCCGACGAAGAGCCTGCGGTCCTGATTGCTGGTCGGGTAGTGAGCGGCCCCCAGGGAATCAAATGTGCTCTGCCGGCCGTGCTGTGGCGGTCTCCCTGCCTCGGAATCCAACCAGACTTTCCTTTTGCTGCAATTCGGGCCACAGCGTGGCTGCTTAATCTCCCTCGAGGTCTGCCCGCTTGTCCGGATCTGCTTGTGCAGCTTTGCCATCCATTCCGTGGGCTCCGCAATATCCCATCGACAACTTCCTTTTCTGCTTTGGTTAGCCGTCATGGACGTCTGTTACTCAAACACAAGAAATCTGACCGACTGTGGCCACACGGTAAAGAAAAGAGGCCGTGTGCTTTGCAAATGTGGCAGGGGTGTCCTCCCTTCAACCTTGCAAGGGTCCTGAGCAGCTGCCCGTTTCTGAGACTTGCCAAGCCCTGGCGGTAAACAGACTTTTCATAAAGACTCTTGGAATATCGGCATCTTTCTTTTTGAATCAATAAGAGAATTGTCCATTTTCTTTTCCAGGCTTAATGAATACAGACAGGGCTGGCGGGACGTCCTCAGTAAGGTTGGAAGCCGGGAGTCGTTCCTGGGGTCCAGCTCACTGTCTGCCATGCTCTTGCGGTCACCTGGCCCCTTCCTGCCCCAGCTCAATGGCCTAGTTAGTGCAGTGGGTAAAAGGGACTAATTTAAGTCAGACCAATGGAGTTTCAATCCAGCTCCCCTACTTCCTGGCTGTGCAACCTTGGGCAAATCACTCAGCATCTCTGTGTCTCAGTTTCTTAATCTACAAAATATGGATTATGAGACTACCTATCTCCTAACGCTGTTAAAACGATTCAAGGAGTTAATTCATGTCAAACACCTGGAATAATGTCTTGCCCCTTGTAAATCCAGGCAAATGTTAGCTCTTGATGTATTTTCATCATATCTATTTCTTTCCCTTTTTTTAATGTTTATTCATTTTTTAAGAGACAGAGAGAGACCGAGCATGAGAGAGAGGGGGAGACACAGAATCTGAAGCAGGCTCCAGGCTCCGAGGTGTCAGCACAGAGCCCGACATGGGGCCCGAACTCACAAACCGTGAGACCGTGACCTGAGTCAAAGTCGGACACTTAACAGACTGAGCCACCCAGGTGCCCCATCATCATATCTAATACACACTTGTTCTTGTCCCCTTTCTCCTGTCAAGACCAGCTTTCAGAAAAGAATCTGGTATTGTGTATGGATCTCAGTCTGAATTTGTTTCTCTCAGTGGGATAGCCTCAAGTGAAGCCCATTCCCTAAGTGTGAATTTCCTGGTAAGAGAACTGGAGGTGTTTCTAGAAGTTCAGGGGATATTTTCAGGGACATAAGAGTCTGCACTCATAGAACTCAATGACAATTCCACCTATACACGGTCAAGGCTGCAAGTGAACGTACAGGAATTAAATTCAGACTTTGAAATATATCAGAAGACATATGTATGGAGGGGAATTGTTTTTTATCCTTGAGATAAATAAGCAATTGACAGAGTGAAACAAAAAGGCTCCCTGCCTGTTCTGAAGACTAATGATCAGTGAGTCCATAGAGTTTCACCGTTAACAATGGTGACATTGATGAAACATTGTTTCATCCTGGGGAGTGTCACTTTTACTTACATAACACTTACAATCAGTTCATCTCACCAACATAAATAAGTCTGTTAGCCTCATGCCCCGGCCTGTGACTTGATTTCAAAACCATTCAATCTCAAATAAAGCCGCTCGTGTGTTTCGTTTTGTTTTTTTCCTACATGAAGTCCGAGTGACTCAGATATTTTGTTATTCAACAAGATGACTCCGCCATGACTCAGGCAACAGAGCTAGGAACATTTTCTGAGGTCTCAAGTCTGGAGCCCAAAAGAAAATGAGTTCTTTCCTAAACGACTTTTCTCTAAAATGAAAATGTGTGTGTGTCTTCTGGTTGTCAAAATCCTGGTTTGAATCTCAAAGGAGGAGAGTCGTGGTTGGAAGAGCGGACTTGGCCTCAGAGGCAGTTGGGCTCAAATCCCAGCCCCAGAACTGATCAGCCTTTGCAAAGCGATAGCATCTCTCCCAGCCTCTGCTTCCTCATCAGTGAAAAGGAGAATGTTACCAAATGCATGGGTAGTTGTATGGCTACCACTTAGCGGAGTGCCCAGCACGTGCCAAGTAGGTAGTATAAGGGTCTGTTTTGCTTCCAGCTAGAACTTCATGGCACAAAAGGACATCACACTCAGATGGGACAGCGTGTCCTCACGTCTGTCGAAAACCATGGTTGCAGGAGGGAAGAATTCTAACGGAAGGGGTATTGTCTCTGCCCCATTTTACCCTTACTCTCTGGAAAGGTAGGTTGTGCCTTGGAGTGGATTTCAAATGCGAGTTCACTAGCAAGGGTTGTCGGGCGGTCTGTTGCTTCAGTGGCCTGGGGTTTCATCGAATTGGAACAAGTTTAGCAGAACAACTTTTTGTGGGGAAAGGTAGTTCTTTATTCTGTTCCGGCACCTTCTTTTTCCCCCCATGGTAAAGTCTTTGTTTTTCTGTTGTTGATCTTAGATGTAAGCCTCCTCGGTTTCACATCCTTCCTTGGCAAAATAAAGAGTGGGTACCTCTCTGATGATACTGCTCCCCAGTCTGTATTTTAAAAAAATGTATTGGGATGTGAAATTCAAAGGATTGGGAACTATTCATATCATGATCAAGCAACTCTCCCTGTTATCCCAAGTATAGTATGCTTCTGTGTCCCTCTGCTATCTTAATACCTTCGGCCCAGGAGATACAAATAGAACATTTTTTTTTTTAATCAGGGAAAATCAACCAGGATATTTTAATGAGGACAATGAATGAAGGCACAGAAGATCAAACCCAGTTTCTTTTTTTTTTTTTTTTTTAATTTTTTTTTTTCAACGTTTATTTATTTTTGGGACAGAGAGAGACAGAGCATGAACGGGGGAGGGGCAGAGAGAGAGGGAGACACAGAATCGGAAACAGGCTCCGGGCTCTGAGCCATCAGCCCAGAGCCTGACGCGGGGCTCGAACCCACGGACCGCGAGATCGTGACCTGGCTGAAGTCGGACGCTTAACCGACTGCGCCACCCAGGCGCCCCAAACCCAGTTTCTAAAGCGACTATCTCCTACTATTTTGTCACCCGTGAACTTTCAAGGAACTATCTTCCACTAACCCTTATAAAATCATGGTCTCTGCTGACGAATAATCTCATGAAAGACACCGAGAGGTTCGTGCCAGGCAGTGATGACAGATCCCAATGCAAACCTTCCCAGAATCATGACTCAGGGAAGCCCATGTGAAAGGTAAAAAAGTGAGAGAGTGAAAAATGGTTTCTCTCCCTTACCGCACAGGCCTGGCCCCTTGGCAGCCATGATCGTATATGACAATGGATTCTGGCCATACCTTCCGGAGTGACAATGGATTCAAATGGGCCACTTGGATCTTACTCTGAAGCATTTCATCGATTTGGGATTTGGGAAACAGCACGCTCGTTAGTGTGAACTGGTCTCTTGATCAGAACTTATGGAGAGATCACCCATTATTCCCCACCCCTCTGTCACTGAATCAGTAGAGGAAGAAAATTTTCAGAGATAAAGAAGGTCGTAGCAGCTGAGCCGAGCGGAGAAAAGGAGGGAGGGTCCTGATGGTTTACTAGTTCCCACTTGCAGGCCTTTCTTTTTTTTTTTTTTTTTTTTTTTTTTTTTTTTCAACGTTTTTATTTTTATTTTTGGGACAGAGAGAGACAGAGCATGAACGGGGGAGGGGCAGAGAGAGAGGGAGACACAGAATCGGAAGCAGGCTCCAGGCTCTGAGCCATCAGCCCAGAGCCTGACGCGGGGCTCGAACTCACGGACCGCGAGATCGTGACCTGGCCGAAGTCGGACGCTTAACCGACTACGCCACCCAGGCGCCCCATTGCAGGCCTTTCTTGAGGCCCGGTGTGGATGGACCTTTTGGAGTTGCGGGTGGAAATTTAATTTAGGTTCTTTCAGTTATAAGCAACAGAAACTGGTGCCGACTATTCTAACCAGTAAGAGAATTTATCTGGCATATGACAGAGGCTTGCCAAAGTGTTGCAAGGTGAGGATGTGAAAGGTTTCCAAAAGAAGCCCACTGCTAGAGGATTGTCAGCACCGAGGCTGCAGGACAAGGATACCGGGAGCGGCATTCAGCAGGTATCATTGGAACACCAGCAGGATATTTGATCAGCATTCTCGCTTGCAGGTTCTTAAGACTCAAAGCGCTTGGACATTTTTATTGCTCAAATAGCTGGGTGAATCACACGTTCCGGTGACCCTCTCGGGCATCTGGATTTGAGACTCAGGATTGTTCACAAAAGTCACCTTGGCTCCCATTCAGAATAAACCGTGTTCTGCAGATGGGTACCGGTGAATGCTGCAAATTTCACGTCCTCTGAATATACTCCGAACTTCTTAGGGAGCCAAGACAAGAGGAAATCATTAAATGGGGCGGGTTTCAAATGAGTAAGCATTTCACTTTCAAACGATCTCAGCAACACTTCCTTGTTTTGTTCTAGGTAACTCGAAACTTTTGAGACTGAATTGTTTTGCTCAGGAGAACAACGTTATCTCAGTGTGCGTGTATCTCCTTTCTGATCTGAGAAGTACTGGGCTTGGGGCACCAGGTGGATAACATTTGTATCAGCAAATGCTCATTACGTGATCATCGATTTTGGACAAGGACAGAATCGATAGGGAAAGAATTAAAGCGTTAGCAGCTCATCCCAGGCAGTTAGGAAATGCAACAAATTTAAAATAAGCCAACAAAAACCATCTACAATCATACGACCCAGGAAAAAACAAACATAGAATTGTTTTAGAAAGAAAACTTTTAGGGGCCCCTAGGTGGACAAGTCGGTTGAGTGTCCGACTTCGGCTCAGGTCATGATCTCACAGTTTCTGGGTTTGAGCCCCACTTTGGGCTCTGTGCTGGCAGCTCGGAGCCTGGAGCCTGCTTCAGATTCTGTGTCTCCTCTTCTCTCTGCCCCTACCCTTGCTCATGCTCTGTCTCTGTCTCTCAATAATAAATAAATGTTTTAAAAAATTTTATTGAACTGTAATATACATACAAAAAAGGAGTCACTT